AGTATGAGAGCCTGGGCAGGCGGTTGGGCCCAACAGCAGAGCAGCAGAGAGAACTGGTTTGGTCTCCACTGCTTATCACTGCTACTGGCTCAGCAGAACTGGGGAAACCAGTAGCATACCACCACTGATCGAAACATAGATGTTTGTGTTAAGATATGTCAATTCTGAAATTCTAATGGTGTCATTCCCCCCCCACAGTCATGTGACTGCATTTTGGCCACTCAGCACCTGCCCCACAATTATTGCTGTTTGCAGCAACCCATGGTTACATGACCACAATTTGTAACACTTTTGCCAAAAATGTGCATTTCTGGTTTTCAGCAAAAACACCCCACTGCAAACAACAGATTGCTGAATGATCACTGCAAAAATATCATAAAATCAGGTCAGTCAAATGATGACCTGCTTTATGACCATCAAGAGTTACATCTGTAATTGCCAGGCTTAATAATAGTCATCAGTTGAGAACTACCTTGGCAGTATGTTAGAATTATATTGGTACTGGAAATATAGTACCTAATTTAGATTTAGAAAGTATGGTATGTGGTGCTATTAGATCGTACCAGTTATACTTGATGTTATGAAGCATGAAAGAACCAGTGAAATTCCAAAGAATGGAGAAACAGTTGTCAATAAATACTAAATGATACAGAACAAAATGACTTGTGAAAAATAACTACATTTTATAAGACAAGCACTGTAAGCGAACAATCAATCTCAGAGGATCATACAATTTGCCAAATAGTATTTTATATCTTATTTTACAAAAAGATACATGCATTGAATATTGATAGTACTAGTATTGCTTTTTCCACAGCTTAGGTGTGGAACGGGATGGAAGAAAAGTACTCTGAGATTCTGGGATATGGGCAATTATTTTGTACATATTTTACCAAACTATTTTATTAAACCTTTGATTAACCTGTCAGACAAAAAGCAGACATGTGTACACTGCTTGTACAGTTTGTTTCTGCTGTATTTGATCCAGACTACAGATGGTCTCATGCTGGATAACTACAAATCTTGTTTCCTGCCCAGAAGTGATTGTCATTATTGAATCATTTGTATGTTAAAGTAGGTCAATTTTGTTTTCCTCTTCTCTCAAACCATCATTTCTAGATAATTGTGTTTCTGTTTTTCGTAATGATCACAAATACACAAAGATATTTTCAGCCTCAGCCTCACGAAAATAATTTTTATGCTTTTGGGATTCCAGATTTTTCACTGCAGGGCAGCTCTGTATAGCTAATCCTTTCAAATAAAGTAAGCATGAAAATGAAGACTCTACATAACAATCACAAGACAGCCAGATGGTATATTTCCAACTGGGAAACATTTGACCTTAAATATCGGAGGCATGACAAAATGTTCTGTGTCTGCTATCATAAGCTATAAACCAATTCTGGACAACCATTTGTAGAAAGTGATGTCAATATATATCATTCCAGTGAGTGTATATAACCAGGAAATTACATAGAACATGATATTAAATCAAAATTTATGTATTATTTTATTTATTTTTCACTTCTCCCTCAGATAGGGATTCTGGGCGGTGTACAATAAAATCTTAAAATATAAAACAGCATATATAAAAGTTAAAAATTTAAAAAAAATTAAGAGAAGGAAAGAGATCAACATTAGTTAAAAAGTGATGGAGAAGCCTTTTCAGGAGGCTAACCAGCCTTTTTGGAAGGCCAGGAGAGTGGGGGCCTGCCTCACCTCCAGGGGAAGAAATATTCCATAGGGCGGGGTAACAGCAGAGAAGGCTCTTTTCCTAGACCCTTCCAGTCGGAATTCTTTAAGTGACAAAGTCTGAAACATACATTCCTTGCCTGACCTGGTAGGATGGGCTGATGTGCAAAGGGACAAAGACAGCTCTGTCACCTTGAATTGGACCCAGAAACAAACGGGCATCCAATGCAGCTAATAGAACAGAGGTGTATCTTTGGTTTCCTAAAATTGCCCACACAGCTGCATTTTGTGCCAGTTGAAACTTCTTGATACTTTCCAGAGATAGCCCCATGTAGACTACAATTGCAATAGGCCAAACAGGAGATAACCACAACATAAGTGGCTGAGTGGACAGCCTCCCTATCCAAGAAAGGGGGTAACTGACCCACAACACAAGGTTGAGCAAAGGCCCTTCTAGCCACAGCTGTCATCTGCTCTTTGAGGAAGGATCATGAGCCCAGGAACCCCCACGTTACGTACCGAGTCTGTCTGGAGTAATGTAACTCCAAGACCAAAGATGATAAATTCCTGGATACGAAGGGGACTATCCACAGCTACATCATCTTACCAGGATTCAGCTAAAGTCTGTTGATCCCCATCTAGGCCCCTGCAGCCTCCAGGCACCATAAAAGGATGTCCACTGCATCACTCACTTCACCTGGTTTGGAAATATATATTACCAGTGTATGTGTGATACCTCATCTTGCAGTGATGGATGATCTCACTCAACAGTTTCATATATATGTTAGAAAGGAGCAGAGAGAGCTCTGAGTCTGTGGCACCCCACAAAGCAGGGGTCTAGAGCTGGATTCCCTATCAACACTGATTGGGACTGACCTCAGAGGAAGGAAGGAAGTGAACCATTCACCCCCAACTCCCTAAGTCTTCCCAAAAGGATACCATGGTTGATAGTATCAAAAGCTGCTGTGAGGTCAAGAAATTCAAGGATGGATGCGCTGCCCCTATCCTGCTCCTGCCAGAGATAATCCATGGATGGAACTAATGCCATTTTGGTACTATAGGATCAAACCGTTCCCAGATAACTGGGTCAGTCTGCCTCCTTGGCATCTACACAGGACTTGTAACACATTTGGTATACAACTGGGAATGAACCAAAATTCCTCTGCATGATCCTATAGAAAGGCCTCACAATCAACTTGGGGATGGTGGCAGGATCTATTCAGCACTTGCTCTCAGCACAGATGGAGCCCTTGACTTACAACTGTTATAAGTCAAGGACCATAACAACAAGTAATCCTTGGCTAAACTGTTTAACAATGATTCAAAGCAACAGGGGCCTTGGAAAAAGTAATTTATGAACTGCCCTTGAAGTTCTGACCATTGCATTGACCCTATAGTCACCTAATTGAAATTTGAGTACTTGGCAAATGGCTAACATTTACAATGGGTTGCGCTGTGTAGTGGTCAACAATCACAACTTGCAACTTTTCCAGCTGATCTCCAAAAAGTGATGTCAATTGGGAAAGCTATATTTGCTTAATGACTGAGGTAAAAATGGTCATAAAAATCATGTCTGGTCATGTGATGACTTGCTTACTAACTATATCAGGTAGTCCAAACGAAGGAATATCCCATATTTGCTCAGGTTTATGTTGTCACAAAGTGCCTTTGGATTCTTTTTTCCTGTATTATTAGTATGTGATTAGCATTCTGGAACTCAATTGTAGAACTACCCATAATGGAGAAGTCAATGTGGTGGGCTGAACCATGGAGTGAAGTCCTGTCCTTTTGTATGTGCACATGAACCTGGGTCATCCTCTCAGATGATTTGCGTAGGGTCAGCATTTTCATTCTCTTTCAACATGCTTAAATTTAAATGGTTAGATAGTATATTTCATGGGAACTTTGAACTACTTTAGCCTTTAATTTTAAGTTAATTTAATTAATTTTGAACAATTTATTTTAATTAATGCTTGTTAATGCTATTTTATTCATTCATTAAAATGTCTTTCTGTGCCTTTAACATTAAGCTGACTTGGAAAAGCCTGTTTTTTAAGGCAGGCCTAGAAATAAACAGTGGTGGGATTCAAAGTGTTTTACTACTGGTTCTGTGGGTGCGGTTTGGTGGGCGTGGCTTTGTAGGTGTGGCAGGGGAAGGATACTACAAAATCTCCATTCCCTCTCCACCCACTAACCTGCTTTCCAGCTCCCTTCTCCTGTGCAGGGCAACCAAAGGAGACGCAGATGATCAGCTGGGACTTGGGAGGCAGAGAATAGATGGGGGTAGGGCCAGTTAAAGGTGATATTTGCTGGTTCTCTGAAATACTCAAAATTTCAGCTACCGGTCTCCAGAATTGGTCAGAACCTGCTGAATACCCGCTCTGGAAATAAATAAGGCAAATACCTTTCCCTATAAAGTACCATAAAGACAAAAAAGCCAATACAAGGCTAGGCTGCATAGAGGGATAGAATCAAGATCATATGACTTATTAGCACCACATTACAAAGCCTTAGTATGGCCACACTTGGAATACTGCGTCCAGTTTTGGTGACCACAATATTAAAAAAGATGTTGAGACTGTGGAAAGAGAACAGAGGAGAGCAACAAAGATGATTAAGGGACTACAGGCTAAAACAAGAATTGGATAGTTCTAGCCTAGTGAAAAAAAACGACTAGGGGAGATATGACAGCAATGTTCCAATATTTGAGGGGCTGCCACAAAGATGAAGCGGGCAAAACATTTTCCAAAGAACCAGAAGGCCAGACAAAATGGATGGAAACTAATCAAGGTCAGAACCAACCTAGAACTTAAGGAGAAATTTCCTAAGCTGAGAACAATCAACCAGTGGAATGGTTTGATTTCAGAAGTTGTGGGTTCCCCATCACTCGAGTCTTTCAGGAAAAGACTGAACAGCCATTTGTTTTAAATGGTATAGAGACGCTCCAGCAGGGGGTTGGACTAGATGACCTCCAAGGTCCCTTTCAACTGTTATTCTATGTATTATTCTCCTGCCATTTCATCAACACAGCCAGGATCTAGCACATGCCCCGGAAAGGACGGGGATACTGGGCAGGAGAGAACCGCGTCTTCGCGGCCATCTTCTCCCCGCCCACCAAACGTAAGACTGTACCCGGAGCTTCACTTTATTGCGGCTTTCCGGTTGCCTAGCGACCGGAGGCCTCGGTTCCTTGCTTGCTTGCTCTGGCCGGCGACGCGGCTAAAAAAACCGGAAGGGCAGGAATGGTAACGCTGCCGCTGCTATCGCCGGTCCTGCCGCCTTCGGGGTGCCGGTGGCCGCCGCTGGGGACCATGAGCGTCCCGGATAGCTTCCGTCTTCCCAAGTTCTGCAGAGACGAGGGATTTGGGTGTCGGTTCGCCCCTCGCCCTCCGTTGCCTTTCGCCCCCGGCAGCGCGGTACAAGGGCCGCTATGAGTAGCAGCCAGCAACGCACCCACTTCAAGCCACGCGGTGCGTCAGGGAGCCGTGCGTGTGCGGGACGCGTGTGTCTGGGGTAGCTCGAGGGGTCTACGCGGGGGACCCGCCGCCTAATAAAGGGGAAATTCGCCAAAAGGGTTTGGAGGTGTTACCTGGCACAGGTTTAAGAATGGCGGAGTTTTGCAACATTTTGAGGCACGAACTGATTTTAGTAACAAAAGGAGGCCTCGCATTAAAGGGTACAGTGGAGTTGAGCTGGAATACTAACGACGTCGGGATGTGCTGTACCCATGTTGCTTTCTTGCCCTGAAGACAGGGTTTTCTTTTGTATAATTTTTATAGAAAAATAAATTTGGACAGGATTAAAAAACTACAGAAAAATAAAGAAAAAATGGAAGGGAAAAGATATGAAGTGATGAAAAAGTGAAAAGGAAGTGGAAAAAAGAAAAAAAATATTTAAAGAAGTAACTTCCAAACTTTTTTGCAGCATTTGCAAAAATAGTTATTATCATTTCCATTCTCCCAAATTGTGTCACATGGTTCCATTCTTCCCAAATAACCCTTTTAATCAGTAAATTCCCATATCACCACTTTTATCCATTTTCAACAACAAAAAATCTGTAAAAGGTTTCCAGTCTTTTATAAAATTATTTATAGTTCCTTCCTAAACAGATAAGTCAATATAGCCATTTCAGTAAATAAATTGCTTTCTAACTTCATATTTTTAATAGTCTCCTATCTAAGGACTAATTAGGTCAGACCTTCTAAAGACCAAGGAAGAACAAAGCAAAATTCTTGCCCTTACTCATCTCACTTAACTGCAGCCCTCAGGCCCCTCCCAAATGCCAAATATAGCCCACTTTGGATAGTGAAATGAGCAGCATATAAATTTAATAAATAAATAAAAATAAGTAAGTGAAAATGTGTTTAATGGTTTGGAATGTGTAAGTCCAGCTATTATGATATGTACCTTCTGGTTTAGCCATGTCTGTGAGTCTGGTCAGTTCAAGAAGCTATGGTTGAAACAAACCAAGGAATAGAATAGTGTTTGAGTCAGAGTCACAACTTTCACTGAGCTAAATAAGACTGATACTCAAAAGCATGCAGGTAGTTCTCAGTTTAAGATTATTTGTTTAGTGACTGTTTGAAATTACAATGGCACTGAAAAAAGTGACTTAATGACCATTGCAGCATGTCCATAGTCATGTAGTCAAAATCCAGGAACTTAGCAAGGGGTATGTATTTATGATGTTGCAATGTTCCAGGATCACGTGTTCACTTTTGCAACCTATTCACAAGCAAAATCAATGGAGAAGCCAGATTCACTTAACCGTGTTAACTAACTTAACAATTGGGTTGATTCACTTAACAATGTGACAAGAAAGGTTGTAAAATGGAGCAAAACTCATTTAACAACTGTCTTGTTTAGCAACAGAAATTTTGAGCTCAGTTATGGTCAAGGAGTACTGTAATTGATCTGTAGCCTAAAAATGCCAGATGTCAAAAAAAAAAACTAATTAGTTGCAAAAAATAATGTACTGATGCTTAAACATATTTTTTACTGTATTCACTTTATTTTACATAAAATTAATGCAAGAACAAATTTCATTTTGCCAGAATGAAACTTGACAGAAATGAAGCATTAACAAAATCAGAATGGAACTAACAAAACTGATTTAGTAAAGTATGACAGTAATGTAAAAATTGGGAGTACCAATTATTTGTAAGGGGTAATGGTAATAGGAATAATTGTACTGCAAATGTTGGTAATTGTTATGTTGAACTCTCATGTATTAAAATGTATCATTTAGAAACAATGTGTATCATAATATTTGAGAACCCATACAGTAAAGCTGAATAATGGAAGATTCACAACATATAAAAAGCAACATTCTTATAAAGAATGGTCTGCCAAAACATGTACAATTTTAAAAGGGAATTAGGCAGAAGGATCACCACTACCTATATTAGTGTTTCTCAACCTTGGCAATTTAAGATCCAAATGCATCAATTCCCAGAATCCCCTAGCTAACGTGACATTTGATTGGTCAATGTGAGAATAAAATGCCAGAATAAATGGGACTTGGATCTTTTCCTACTGGGTTTTTCTTAACAGCCCCCTCCCCCCCATATAAATTTTAAAAAACTTTAATGACTAACCATGGAGCTAAAAATTATCTATTATCTAAAGTTAATAGAGTATGACTTTCTAGTTGAAATAACTTGAGCAAGAATATGGATGGTGTGATTATGCAAATAAAGACATTGGGAAGCTTGAAATATGCTTTGAGAAAATTGTTGATTTTGTGAATTTGAATGATAGCATTGATTGGAACACAAAATCAGAAAGTTGGAGATCTAGCCTTCTTTTGGGTTGGTTAATTGTTTTATTTTGAACATTTGTAACTTGAGAAAATGCTGTAATAGCAAGGTAATCCCTCAAAAGATTCATTAACTGTACAGGTAGAACTACTATGCATTGGTAAAATCCATCTATGTAATATACTACTAAAATTTTAAACAATTGCTAAACAAATGGTTCATCAGACAAAGACATAGAATCTCTGTACATTAGAATCTCTGTCATTGTTGAAGGCATTCAGAAGCTTGCTAAGGAAATAACTCTGAAATAACCCAACAACACATAGGTTGTCTAGCTATACTATATAGCCAGGTGTAGTTCTGGTAGCTCCATAATTATCCATTCTCATATTTCAGTGCAGCTTTAAACAACTTGCTTGTACTTGTAAACATTAAACCTGGCAACTTTTGAATTGGACTAATAAAGCTGCTGGATCTGAAGTCTGCATTTTTTGTTTATTTCTCATGATCAAAGATTCTGCTTTGCATTTTACATGATTTCTCCTAGGATTAGAGGCTGAAGAAAAATCTCATTAAGCCACAGCATTCAAAGCATAGCCTTAAGATATGGCAATTGGGACCCACTGTAAATCTCTCTTTGCTAGGAGAGTGTAATCTTTTCCTCACGGCTGCCAATCCCAAGACAAAGTAGTAAATGCTGTGCATGTTATATCAAATGCCAGAACCAATATTTGATTTAGTCTCTTCTACAATTATTTTATTTTATTAGTCTTTTTATACTATGAATTTATAATAGAATCATATATATTCAACATTATTAAGCATTACATCTCTTATGGGTATGTGTCTCAGTTTTCTACACATAGTTCTCACACAATTGAGCCCAATATTTCCATTGCTTAGCAAAATAGTTAAGTGAGTTTTACCCCATTTTATGAGCTTTCTTGGCCACAGCTGTTAAGTGAATGAATCCAATTCTTAAGTTAGTAAAATTAGTTATTAAAGGAATCTGACTTTCTCACTGACTTTGCTTGTCAGAAGATCGCAAAATGACCCCAGGATACTGCAACCGTCATAAATACATGCTATTTGCCAAGCATCCACATTCTGATGACTTGACCATGAGAGGCTGCAACTGTTGAATGAAAAATAGTCAGAAGTTACTTTTTAAAATGCCTTTGGGTTGAAAATGGTTACTAAACAAGTGGTTGTTAGTTGAGAACTACTTTACATGGTATTTAATTTGGATAATTTTAATTGTAAAAATATGTACTATATTACTGAGGAGAGAAGAAAATATATAAATCTATTAAATCAATAAATAACTAGTTCATACAGAAAGACATGAACCTCATATTTACACACATTCACATAGGCGGTCCCTCCTCCACACATACTTACCTGTCAGTACCGGTACTTATAACTCATTCAAAGGATTCAATCATGGGGTATCCTGCTTTATGACTGCATTGCTTAGTGATGGAAATTACATTCCCAATTACTATCATTAAATGCAGATTATTTGTATTATCTGATAAATTATGTTAAATACATCATTGTAAGTTTGGAAAGTATGACTTCCTTTTTCTACTATAATAATGTAATATTGTAACCAAAACACCAACATCCAATTCACATATCCTCCTTTCATTCATTGCTGTAGTAACTTGACTAGTCACTGATTGAATGATCATAATTGATCTGTATTACAAAATGCAGTGCATCTGGCCAACTAACTGGAGACAACTCTATGCATATGTAACCAATGTTTACATAGCTGGGTTATTGTTCCTCTAACTCCATATACAATCAGTGTCCAATTATTGTCCACAAAAATGGAAATGGTGTGAAGCCAGGCCTAGCCAGCTGAAATAATATATTTTATGGTACATGAGCTTGGCTGAACTTTTATTTGTTATCTGAGGTTATTTTTTGTGTCTCTTGACACTCTATGTTCAGCACAGAGTGACCAACCTTATCTGAGTATTGATGTGTAATGTCCTCCCTAAAAAAGTACACATAGTGCCAGTTATGATACCTTTGTTGATCTCAAGAAAACAATTATTTTTATGGTCCAGATATTTCAACATGTTTTATTGCTAGTTTAGTATTTTATTTTCTCCAAAGGTTTGGGGCTAGGGTTGATGTGAATAGTCATCCTCTTTATCCAGGGAGCATCAGAGCTGGGAAAGTTATGTTATCGCCTTGCAGAAAATGTAATGAGATAGTTTGGGGGGGGGGTTGTGTTTTACTGATTTTGATTATTTTGTTTTGTTGTGTGGAATCTAGATATAGGCATAGATATATAAAATATTTCAGTAAGTATGGATTTGTTAAACAATTTAGATCTCTTTTATAAATAGGCTAAATGCTTTAAATTGCTTTCTCTAGTACTTGCAACTTTATTACTGGTAGTTAATGTTCTATGTTGTTATTATATTTATTTTAGGATGCCAATACTACAGAAAATGTTTCATTACTAAAGAAAATCATAGCTCTCCTTTAATAAAATATCTCTTTCCCCCTTTGCTTAACTATATATCTTAAGATTTTGATTTGAATTATTTGCCTACAAAAGAAGGGGAAAATTATAGCTATGTTTAATACAAATATTTTTTTCATCATTCTATAAAATATTTACTGATTTTTTAAAAAAAGTAGTGATTTTTTTTACATTTTCAAATGAAAGCAAAATATTTCATTGCAGATTTACAGGTAGATAATGGCAAACTCCCAAAGATCTCTTGTGTTCCAAAATGGTAAGTATTTTAAACCAGGATCAATTAAATTCTTTTTTTTTTTAATCTTAAAAAGTTTTATTAGTTTTTTTTAATAGAAAATGGGATGCTTTTAGTCTACTCTAATCTAGCATTTCCAGATAAATATATATCTGTACCTCTTAACTGAGGCAGATAATTCACTCTTTTTTATAAGTGAGTGGGATAAAGAGAGGGACTCAAAGATAAGTGGTATGAGAGCATTAGAGTCTCCTAAATTACTATTTGCTACATCTGATCAAGAAATACACTGCAAACTAGTACTTGGTAGAAAACATTTGTGAAAGCTGTAGAAATGATACTCAAATGCGATGATAGGTCTATAACTACAAAGATCATATTCCATATGACACTCTATGGAAGCAAAAGTTGGATTTTGAAGAAGCAAAATTGAATACCTTGAGCACATTTTGAAATTTTTAGAGAATACTCCTGATAATACCATCAACAGACAAGAAAACAAACTAATGGATCATTGAGCAAAATCCACCCAGAGTTCCCACTCAAGGCACTGTGAGCACAGTATTTACAGACCAAACTCTCTGGAGAAGCTCTAATGCTGGAAAAGGTGAAAGAAGGGAGATCAGAAAGAAAGAAAGAAAAGAAGGAAGGAAGGAAAGACCAGTAGCAAGATAGATTTAGTTACTGCAGCAATGAGACATTGTTGGATGATCTGAAAGATTGTGATGGAGGAAATCTGTTTATGCGACCCCAATGCGTTAACAACAGCTTGACGGCACAGACAACAATCAATCAATGCCTAAACCAAAATAATAATAGGTAGAAATTATTAGCAAAGTATTTTTCTATTGAATATAGTCATGATATAATTGTGGCATATTTTTCTTGGATTTTGATTTTGAGAAAAACATACGTTCTTTTTTATTTTTTTTATGGCACATTGGAATTTATAATAATTATTCTTAAAACATATTTTGGTAGGTAAGAACATTTAGGATATACCATTTGCTATTTTAGGGTAGAGGGAAATTGAACAAACTGAAATACCTATTTGGAAATGTTAAAGTTGAAACATATATAAAAGAATCAATAGCTAAGACAGTGATAGCAATGGTAGTATAAGACCTGTTTCTTTAATAAAACAATTTTTTGCTTTTGGAAGATTATTTTTGCCTAAGACCCATGATTTCTAAAGAGAGTCATTAAACTTCTTTAATAAATTAATAAAAAATGTAGTACTGAAATTTCTGAAAGCCATCTTGCCTACTCTTACTAAATGTCTGAAATGCTCTTTGTATGGACTACATACAAATTACATACAAAGTGCAAGAAAACTACCCTTGAAGATTTTCCACAGTTCTTTAATATACCATGTCAGCCATGGCTGATGTTTAGGAGTTTCACATAAAACTATTGATATAGAAACGGATTCCTAAAAGTATAAGGTTTAAAACTACCCATGATAGTGTATAGAACCTGTCAGTTAGCCAAAGCAATATTGTTTAGGGATGATCAGTTCGGGAAGTTTTTATAACTTGGTCCCTTCAAATCTATTGGGAAGTATTTCATCCTTCATTGGCCCTGTTTGTCTTGGAATTCCAGAAGTTGTATTCCCACCTCTAAGAAAGGTCCTTGGTTACCAAAAGCTGAAAGAAAGTGTGTTTGAAATGAATGGTAGCATTGTAACCAGATTCTTTATTGACTTGGTTATCTGAAATACATTTGTGCTTTATAATATTTGAGAATCATTACATATTTGTTGTTTTTACATATGCACATGGTGTTCCATTTTTCTGTCTGAAATAGGAAACATACCACTTTTCAGCCAATCCCAAAAGAAAGAAAATTGCCATTCCTGACACCTGATAATAAATTCCTGGATGGTAAAGGAAAATTATTTGAAAGTGAACCATTTATGGATAGTTGGAAAAATGCGGTTTTAAAGACAAAAAGAATTAAACAAGGTAAAACATATAACAATTTTGCAGGAACTTTGTTAAAATATTTATTAAATATAGTTGTGTAATTTTATACAGGTGTTGCCATGACATTGCATATTTTTAAAAGATTTCAAAGAGTCTTTCTTCCACAGATTTATTAGTGTTTTTGAATTCTTATTGTTTTGTTTTGTTTGATGTTACATTTGAACATTTGTTTGTCAATCGTTTGGGAAGCAGGCCTGAAGCCAATTATATAATTTTTTAAAATGTAAATAAAATTAGTTATATTTACAGTTTAAATCATAATTATAATAATATTAGCAGCATATGGTTAAGATTAACATATTTAAATTTTTCTATAGTTCTTTTTTGGAGGTTTTTTTCCTTATGTTTGGGGATATTGTCATTCATAGCTTTCTGAGATGGATGCATTTAAGTCCATCTATTAGGAGGATGCAGTTCTATATAGACGGTGCTCTAGTTATAAACAGGTTACATTCCGAGAGGCTATTCAGAACTCTGTTTTCTTTGCAAGTCCAATAAGCATAAAAAGCATACCCAGTTCTTACCTTAACAGTATGCAAGTAGAAGTTTGGATAGGGTGGGAAAGAATTAGTTTCTGGCACTGCTAACTGTTCTCCATCTTCTGTTGACTCCTGGGACCTTCTAAGTTAGAGTTGTGGATAGATACATGTGCATTAGCAAAAGTTCGTAACTTTGTAAATAAATTGATTTGCACATACCTGGGAGTAAGTCTTATGGAAATCTGTGGAGTTTATTTTTCTGTTGCAGCTGTCTTGCCTGCATGTTTCAAGCAGAAAGTGGGAACTGACAGTGTATCATAAGGAACATGTTATTCAGTCTCTACATTTCTATGTGGAGTTGTCATGATGAAGACAGCTTTTAGTTTTTGTTTCCTATTTTGTTTCTTTTCTATTTTATAATATCTAAAAATAGTTTAATAGAAGGTGCTCCCATTGTTGAGCACTGTTTCTGTTGTGATTTGGGTTTTTTTTCTCTAGACAGCCAAGTTGAGTATCTCTAGGTAAACATGTCCTTATTTATTCTGGACGTATTTCTTCTATTGATTTCAGTGCTTGATTTCTGTGCACTTATAATTAAGGCTAGTGTATTTGAAATTCTTGTCTGATATTTCATGTTTCCTATTTTGAATTATTCCCTTAAGCAGAGTATGCCTCTGCATATGGCTTGAGTGATTCCAATGAAAATACTGCAATGCAGTGTCTTTCTCAGAGTACGGAAGAATATCCTGCAATACCAAACTCCCTTCCTGTTATACAAAAGACACAAAGTTGTGCTGATCAATTTCCAAGCAGGTATATTATTTTATTTTGGGTTTTAATATGAGGAATATGCAAATGTTATTTCTCAGATTGTACTGCACAAAATAATTTACAGAATCATAAGTGCCATTTCATTCCCAAATTATCCTTGTTTGCATTGTTCATTTGATGTCATCAAAATACTTTACAAAAAATAGATATGAACAGCTCCCATGATGCATGGATCAATAATGATCCCATTATTGTATTATTTGTATTTCTGAGGTTGACTGTGACAGTACTTAGAAATTATAGCAATATAAGGTTAGCACCCAGGAGTCGTTATGATTGTTGTCAAGATGCTATTCCTGAGTAAAATATTTTCTTATATATTCAGATTATTACCCATATTCCAGAGTTGGTCCTAATTCTTGTGTTTTTAAGAAAAAAAAAGTGATAAAGTGATAAATACAAATAATGTCCTGCCTGTGCCATAAAGGGCCTCAGTTTAAGGCTTTTACTCTTGCCAAATTTCCAGTAAACAGTACCCAAAGCAGTTCATGATAAGCTATTAAAATGCTTTTAGAATAACTTCTGAACAGTCTGTGACAAAACAGTGAATAAAATAAAATAGGATAGCGGTTCAAAAGCCACCAGATTAAGGCAACAATAAAGCTAATTTGCAATATTCATTATTGTCTACATTAGAGTAAGTAGGAGTTTACTCTGGTGACTAGATCAAAGACAAAGAAGGAAGTGGGACACTGATAAGTTATCATTGTCAATTTCCTAAGTGTTTCAGCTGCTAATGCTAGTCTGTAGGGCAGTACCTCTATTGAATTCTACTGTATGCAATAATGCAATATCAGGGGTTTTCATTTCAGTGTATAGAATATGAAGGATGTGTGTTTGTTTATTTTCATAGTCATAATGTACATTGAAGATGGTATTTAATTTCACTGTACGAGGTGAAATGACAATACATTAAACTAAACTAATTTAATGTTATTATTTTCATCATTTAGCTCTGATAGTAATGAAGATTCCAGATTGCCACCTTTATATTTGCTTCCAACTACTCTTTCCCAAAGTTTTTTTGAAGGCAACTACAAAAGCAGGTAAGACTTAATTTCTTATTGAAAGGAATTAACTTTACTGTAATATTATATTCCTTATGTGAGCAATCTATAGGCCACATATATTACCTACATACCTATTTTATGGCTTCAGAATATCACCCGCATGGGTGAGGACAAGTTTTTTGTCCCTTTTAGGAGGAGGCAGTTGTTTCTGGAGCAGCTGGAAGAGTTTAGAAAACTGAAGACATCTGTTCTGATCCTTAACATTTTTTGTCTTCTAACTTCTTCAAATTTGGTCAATTGCAACCTTTCAAAGATTAAGATCAAGAGGCAGTTTGGTGTAGTGGTTGAGCTAAAAACCAGGACACTTGTGAGTTCTAGTTCCAGTTTAGACAAAAGGCCAGCTGGGGATCTTGGACCAGTCATTCTCTCTCAGTCATAAGAAGCAGGCAATGGCAAACTACTTCTGAAACACCTTGCCAGGAATCAACATTGACAGTGTGTTTCTGGTACACATTATGCTAAAAAAGCCAATACAAGGGCAGAGATGGTATTCGGCAGGTTCTGACCAGTTCTGGAGAACCGGTTGCAGGAATTTTGAGTAGTTCGGAGAACCGGTAGCAGAAATTTTGAGTAGTTTGGAATACCACCACTGGCTGGCCCTGCCCCCATCTATTCTCTGCCTCCCAAGTCCCAGCTGATAGGCTGAGTCTTCTTTTGTTGCCCTACACATGAGAACAGAGCTGGAAAGCAGGTTAGTGGGGAGGGGAGGGAACAATTTTGAAGTAACCTTCCCCCTGGAGTGGGGATGGAATGGGAATTTTGCATATCCTTTCCCTGCCACGCCCACAAAGCCACGCCCACCAAGCCACACCCATAGAACCGTTAGTAAAAAAAAATTGAATCCCAGCACTGTACAAGCGGTAGCTTGAGTAAACACAAGGCTTCCATCAGGCTGACACTTGGAATCAGATCATTTAAATTTAGAAAAAAAATAAACATTCTTCTTTCCCATGTACCCCTATGGACTTAGTTTATTACTTTAAAAAAAACCTTACCTGTCATTTTAAATATATAGAAGTATTCCATGTTATTGGACAAAGCAAGAAATATGTAAGAACTCTTACCTAGGCAAAGAAGCAGATTAATAGAAAGAACAACAGAGTTGGATGGTCCCCTGCTCAAACAGGATACTCTATGCCATTTCAAACAAATAGTTGTCCAATTTCTTTGTAAAATAGTGTTAGAGAACCCACAACTTCTTGAGGCTGAAAAGTTCTAAAGTCCTGGGAAGCAAGCTAATACTCATAAGCAGCTCAGGCAAGTACTTCCCTAGTTATTTCAGGTATAAGGAAGAGAGGTTAAGCATAATCTGACTTGCAAGATCCTCTTATTTTAGCCAATCTAAATAAAGTGCAGTACCAGTCATCCTGTGGGGTTGGTTTTTCTGGTCTGATCTACTTAAGCACTTATGAGCCTTCTAGTTTAAAAGCAGCTCATATTATTTCATAGCACGATTAATAGAAATGCATTTTTAGTTGTTTTCTTTCATGTATTGCAGTTAGTGATAAGCACATAATAAAAAAAACTATTACTATTACTGCAACAATCTAAATCAGTGGTTTTTTAAAGTGTGGTCCAAAGATCCCTGGAGAGTCCACAAAATCAAATTACTTTCCAGATCTTGAAGGTATTTGCAAAAAAAATAAAATAATGTCATTCTTATTTTTATTTGTTAAAAATAGTGTTTTTAATAAAAATATATTAATATCTCTTGGGTTTAATATTGGTATTTTTACATGATTCAATAAATAAATGTTCCACAAATACATGCTTTTTAAAAAAAAAATTGTAGCCAAAAACTTCTAGCTCTGAAAATATATTTGTTGAGAAAAGGAGAATACAGAAAACAGGGGAAGACAAGTACATAAATAGGATTTCAAAACAAATCAATAGTCAGTTTAATAGAGCTATATTACCACTTTTCCTAAGCTCTTGGATTTCGGCATACTGTATGTTCAAGGTTCATTTAGTGTTGGAGAGAAAGAACTGTTGCTTTGCCAAATTAAATAAAACGTATTTCAGACGTCATGGGTCTGGCCAGTGGTATGCTAGTAAAGAACCAGCTACCCCTCCCAATCCAGTGCCTCTGGATCTCCCCAACATTGCTGACTCCACTGCTGCTACTGTGCCTTGCCACTGACCACAAAACGGCTTATCTATTCAGCAATTCTCTCTATTGCTTCAAAAATTCTAGAAAATTTAACAATTGGCAATGGCTCCAGCTCCGGGTCTAATAGGGAGATCACAAAGTTATTTGGCAGTTGAATCCATTTTTCTAATAACTTTGGTTAGAGGACAAAAGTGCACGCTGGTATTTTTCAGTTGTGTTATTGTACATTAAATAAGATACAAGAGTAGTACTTTGAAATAACTCATTATGACTTATCCAATAGATGGCAGCACCTAACCAATTGTGGCTGATGTAATTAGATCAGAGTTAATCAATTAATCAAGATCAAATTTGATTAGCATTTGAATAGGAAACCACCAGGAAATTCCAGAACTATAGATTAGACTGGTAAATCAAACAAAAACTGAAAAAAGCAATAGCAAACTGGACTATTTTCCAATAAAACTATATAGACTTGCCTATGTAGTTATCAGAAGTCTAGGTTACCTTATGGAAATCATTATCTCCAAAGACAAATTTTATTTATTCAAGCTTCTCAGCATATGGTTCCTTTACCAAATATTTTAATTGGTATTGATTTGCAATACCAAAAATTAGGGGATGGTCACAGTTGAATTCAGTGTAGCTTAAGGTAAAGAATAAATTTTATATAATTGAATATGCTCATAATACAGTTTTCTCAGATACTTTGCTTGGTTCTTCTAGGTATATTGTGTTTCAATTTTCCTTAATCTTAGCCAGCACTGCCAGATGGTTATGCACTCTGGGAGCCATATCTCAAGCGTCTAGATTAGTGTTTCTCAAACTTGGCAAGTAGAAGATGCTGGCTGGGGAATTCTAGGAAATGAAATTTTTGAGATAGAGAAACATTGATCTAGAACAGGGGTGTCAAACTCAATTTCATTGAAGGCGGCATCAGGGCTGTTTGACTTCAGAGGGCCAAGGTGGGCATGGCTGGAAGTGGGCATGACACAGGACTTGTGTTGGTGACACCTGTGGTGGCCAAGTGCTAAGGCAGGACTTCCCTGAGACCTTCCCTCACTCTCATTATAATCTCCCTCCTTCCTTCCTTCCTTCCTTCCTTCCTTCCTTCCTTCCTTCCTTCCTCTCTCCCTCCCTCCCTTCACTTCTTTTTCTTTCCCTCTTCATTCTTTCTGCTTCCTTCCCCCTTTCCCTATTTTTCGTTTCTTGCTCTCTTCCCATCTTCCCTTCTTTTTCTTGTCTTTCCTCTTCTGCTTTCTCTTTTCTTGTCCCTTGCATGCCCAAATGCAAAAGGAAACATTTCTCCTTTTGTTTTTAGTTTAATAGCCTCTGCCAGCAAAAAGGAAGCCTGAGGACTGCCTGTGGCCACCCTGCACCCCATTTTCAGCCACGACTGCCTCCTGCAGCCCTTTGCCAGTGAAAACAGAGCCTGGGGGGGCTGTACCCACCCACCTCAAGTTCTGTTTTTGCTGGCAGAGGCACTGTGGGCCGGTCCTTTGCTGTTTCCAGGCCAGTTCCGCGGGCCAGCTCAGGCCCACAGGCCTTGAATTTGACACCCCTGATCTAGAAGATGCAAGGCCATAAGCACTTTCCACATTACCAAGAGTAAAAAATAAGTTATTTTAGAAGGGAGATTTAATACACCCACACCTGTGATATATTATCATTCTTTACAGGGGAGACATTGCCATGGGACATCCAACCAAAAAAGAGGTGCCTTGCATATCAGCACCTCTGAAGAACTCTGAACCACACCGTCAAGCTGGAGCGTTGGATGCTGTGAGGTAAAATGGTTTGAAAGGGCAAAGATAGCTAACTAGTGAAATGCTGAAAGTTAATTTTTTAAAAAACTAGGCTATTACCTAAGTGCTATTCTTGAATGTGCCATTCTTGATTAAATATTCGATCTGGGAGTAAATCCCACTGACCAGGAAGCACTGAATGACTTTGGGATAGTGAATCGTTTTCTTAAATTTAAATGATTTTGAGCTCTTGAAATAAAGGCAAGAATGGAAATGTAGTAAAGAAATGTAAAGAAAATACCCTACCTAATGAAATAAAAGTACCATTTTCAGCAATATTAAACCTTCAAAATGGTTTGTAACCCATAGTATGTCTACATCTGATTTGATATGATAATTCTGTATCTCCAACTACAATTTCAGTACTTAAGAATGCAGTACCATTTAAAATGTGGGTAGTGATGGCTACTGAATCATATCATGAGAAATATTTCTGTATATGATTATTAAATCAATATTTTAATTTCCTGCCGCACCATTGACTTCATACAAACAAATAAATACTGGCAATTAAAATATGCTATCCAATATGTTCTTGCACATTTATAGGTTGAAGAAACTCAATAGGTGTTCCAGACTGGCTTCATTTCCAGGAAGGGTCAAGTACAGGACTGGTAAAAGAGCCATTTCCTACTTCTGCCTTTATTTTAAAAAAATTAAGCAAATTAGTATTCACTGTATTTTACTGTATCACAAGTTGTTTTACATTTACCCAGTCAGTGGGCTTCAAATTCCAAAAGCCAATACAAACACACAGGTCCCTTCGCAATACACAAGCACTCAAAGGCTAGTACTCACTGCTCACTACTCCATTCTTTCCTGCTTCTACCACAGGCTTGAAGAGGACAGAACAGTAACACAGGTGTTAGCCATTTTGCAGGCAACCTGTCCTCTCACACATTGTATTTTACATTGAATGTTATTTTCTCCACAATATGGGCAAAGAATGGAATCCAGAATCATTTCCCTCATACTGTAAAGTGTAGATTGTCTGGGGGAGAAAATATTCTGATGATCACAGTAGGCTCAGACATAGCTGTGCAGGTGTTTACATTGTGGATGTCTGTTCTGCCTTGACTTAAAACAAAAACCTTAAAGCAATACCAGAGTAGGGCTTATATAGGTTGCTCCAGGCACTCCAACTGCCATATTGAGGGCAAGACCCTTTACCTAGCACTCAAGACTGGTTCCCTCCCAAAGATTACTGGAGGATAAAATCAAAGAAACAAGTCATTTAGGCAGAACTACCTTTGGGGTCTTTTTGCTGGAATTCTATGAAGGAGAATTCTTGCCAGCTTTAGCCACTTTGAGCAGGGAAAGTGGGGATGAGCTGCATTTGTGAGAACTCAGTTGGAGGGATAGTAAATGCATCAGTTTCTTTTGCCAGCAAAGAGAGCTCCTAAAATGTGAGGTACTGGCAATCAATATTTAGCAATATCTTCACATGTACATTTCATTAATTGCAATTAAAAACTTGGCATTGTAATTTCCCATTTTGGGAGTTTGTTTCTGTTGCAGTTGATATGTTTGAAAGAGCAATTATTTGTGGTAATAAAAATATAAATGTATTTTTGAATTTTAATAACTGTTACCTCTAATTTGATAGTCACTCATACAATTCCCTTATACACCTACCACAAATCCTGGAAATAATTATGATTTTCAGTTTCTGTATTTCTCAGAACATCTGGATTGCTGCTATGGAGATTTTAATGTATATTGAGTGCATTTATAGTGATATTATCCATTTTAGATAGCTTGTAACACACTTGCATTTAGTTGGTAACAAAAGTGGCTGAATTTTGACAATTTCCCCCGAAAGTTAAGAGCAGAAATGGAAGATATTTCAAGCTTTCCACTCCAGATTTATTGTTTGCTAGGGAAGAATTAAGCCCCTGTTCTTGCACTCTTGGGCATTGAGGCACCTTGCCTGTTAAATTCTGCTTTTCAGTCTACCTCCAGTTCTAAATATGGACAGAAAAACACATGGGCTGGCAAAGTCCATCTCATTCTGACTGATAGCATCTCACCACCAAAATACTCATCTAAAAAGGGGAGGATTTAAGTTGCAACCTGAATCAAATGTTGTCCAATGTTGTTTGCATGCTACATCAAGCCATAATTTACTGAGTAAATCACACTTGCGTGTCTCTTTGTTATATAGAGTGGATCAAAATTAAATATTTAATACAGTGAACCTTAACTGACTAGCTGGGGAAAAGCAATCTTTATTGTGTTACCAGACCTAAATCACAACCAACATAAATTCAAGTCCTTCATCCAAATTATACAAATTATATCATTGCAAAAATCACTCTGCTAGCATGCAACTTTGTTAATACACATTTGTGCAATTGTACTGTTATCATCATGCATAACTGCATTAATCAACCTTTGCAGATCTCAAAAATAGCAACAGCACTAGACGTATACTGCTTCACAGCACTCCAAGTGGTTTACTTCAACATACTGTCCTTAACTGGGTCATTTTACCCACCTTGGCAGGTTGGAAAGCTGAGTCAACCTTGAGTCAGTCAGGATTAAACTCCTGGCAGTGGGCAGATAGTCTTGTAGTTGAATATGGTTATACATTTGAATGGGAGACCATAATGAAACCTGGAGTTATATACTTATCTTAAAAATGCAAAACACGCCAAAAAGCACTGATAACCATTTCTCTGCTGTGACTAAAAGGACAGGAATGTCAGTGGAGCCTTCAATTATGAGCCAGTTTGTATTTTCCACATGGTTTTTAGACATGTATCATTAAATGAAAATGATAGGCAATCAAGTAGAATCTTTTTTCTTCTCTTAGGTTACCAATTTGCTGATCCTGTCAGTGGAGCCACATCTCAGTTCCTTCAGAGGCTTGCTGAATTAGCCGCTCTTGAATGCACAACCATTCATGAGGAGAAAACCAAAAAAATAAGGAAGACTAAGAAACAAGAGACATAGAACTAGATTGTGCAAGGAGCAGGCTCCTTTGCAATTAGATGTTTTTGATCTCCTTTAACATGTTGTGTTGATCAGTGAATCACAATTAATGTAAAAGAAAAAATTGATGTTTAATAAATATATTATCATGATTACATTGTCCAAACTAAATTGTTTAAAAATTGGTTACTCAAAAATGGAGGAAAAAACCCAACTTTCAACCACATCTAAATGCATACATCCTTCTCTAAACTACATTCAAAGCATGTTTCAGACTCCCAGCAAGCATGACCACCTAGCCATAATACTATGCAAACCTAGTCACTGAAATTAGCTAAATATGCAAATTTATTTTTATTCCTGGAGACTGCCAAGGCTAGTTTTGTTTTGTTTCAGAAATGTTTTTCCACTGTCTCCTTCCTAGGTGAAGTGATTGGACCAAGGTCACCCAGTTGGCTTTGTGCTAAGGTGGAACTGTGTTTTGGCTTCCAACTTTATGCCTTAACCACTACACCAGACTAGTTCTCTACTAAATTATAACTTTGGACAGCAAGATGGGCAGCATAGAAATTTAATAAATAAAACTTATCTATAGATCGGTCTTGCCTGCAATAATGCAAAGATCATAAACCTAATCATAAATCTAGAATACTGAATATGAGTAGATTTTCTTGTCCATTTCCTGCAATTAGTTGCTTCAGATCTCTAAATCCTGAACACATTTCTGAAGTATTCCTAACCATTCCATTGCTAATGGCTTTATTCATGCACACCACCATGGTTGAGCTTGCTAAAGCAGCCTAGGGATAGAAACCATAAACTGCAATGTGGTTTGATTCTAATTTACCATGTTGTCTGAAATCAGCTGTTTATTCAACAAGCCATCATTAAAATATGAATAGTCATTGTGATTATTTCATTTAGAATGCCAGGGTTTAAACTCATTTGTTAGCAAAAGTAATTATAGATTAGCACCTTTATGAAAGCATAACACACAGGAATGGGCAATTGATTTTCCCAACTGGCTCAATGAGAAAATGAGTGTTATGGAGGACAAACCAATAAGCTGAACTTAATTCCATTCAATTGTAAAATTACAATTATTTATTCACATTTAATTTTTAATTTACCTCATGGGAGCCAGGTAGGGACAGCCAAAGAGCTGGATGTGGTATGCAATCAATTTCATTTTACAATGTTCTATATTTAAACATTTAATACAAAAGACCATTCCTTTCCTTGCTTGTTCCACTGTGGAACTTTTTCCTTACCTCATGTCCAAATATGGAAAAAAAATCCTGGTATTCTTACTCACTTAATAGCCCAATGATTGACAAGCAGTTTAATCAGAATTTAATTATACTGTACCATTTTTTACTTTATTTTCCCACGGGATGCAGCTCCATTTGTAGGCAATGCCATTTGGACACCAAAAAGAAAAATACCATAGCTAGATGCCAAACCCTAATTAGAAAATAATTTCTTGACTAAAAAGGTGTATAGTGAGAAAATATTTATGGTATTACTATAGGGGCTATTCAGCAATTAAGTCAAGCCAATAATATAAAGCATATATACTTTCCTTCCAGTAACCTAATTATAGTTCCATTAACTTATCCCACTGGTTTATTAAAAGAAGCAGGACTAAGTGTATGTGTTTGAAATGCAGAGGCAATGTATGGTATCAGTGAGCAAGTTACTTAACATAATGGCACATAACTTAGCTAAAACTCTGGCAAAACAGGTGTCAACTGTTAGATAACTGAAGTCATCATGTGCCTTTTTATGCAATGTACAGATACACCTTGTATTCACTAAAATTATCTTATGACTCTTAAGTTATTTAATGGCAGTATTCACTTTGTTATTGTACTACCTAATCATATTTAGAACAATCAGAATATTCAGAGGCACTTCATATATCAGTAAAAGAATTTAACAATGCAAGCAGTTTTCATAGTTCTTTATTAACAATGTGTAGATCAGTCATCTTCTGAGCCTGTAGAAGAGAGGAGATATTAACACATTAAAAGCAGAAAACAAATCATGTTTCAGAGAAAATATTGAATACAGGTAATGTATTAAAATTTCTGAAAACCACCAATGTACTATATTGCATTTACTTCCCCATTTCTGAATTAAGCAGCACACAGAACCTTTGGTACTTTCAGGGCTCCATTCTACAAAGCAGATGTCAACTAGATGAAGGATTAGCTACAGCCAGCTAAATTTTATTTTTTAAAAATTAGAATATACTTAAAGAGTGTAAATGTAAGATTAATCATTTTATCTTATGCCCCAATAAAAATTTAATTCTCTCTTCCCTTACAGCCCCAGAAAGGCAACATTTAAAACCCATTAAGGAAAGAAGCTAATTCCTTTTCTGGTATTTATTTAAAGTGTAGAATTAACAACATAACAGCACTAGTAAAAAAAAAAACAACCAAAGGATCAAAACCCAGTATGTTGGAAATGCAATCATCTAATTGTATCTTACCATTAATTCATCCTCCTAATCATTCTGTTAATCTGGTCCTCCCTGTTTCCTGCATCACCACCTTCTACAAAATGAGTTGTTTTTTTCTTCATTCCACCCCTTGGAGAAGATAGCTTGAATGGCCAGAGAAAGTTGTTTGCAGCTTTGAAGTTTTTGCCAACAGTATAGATTTCATGGATCAAGTCTTCCATGCAAATAATGCCATATTTTTCTGAAAATTAAAACGAACATCAGAAAATATTCAGTCTGCAAAATGCTCTTGCTTGCTCATGAAAGGCATATTAAATATGTGGAGTCTGGCTATTTCTACTATGCTCAAAATATTTCAACTTTCCCATCCCAGCAGGTTCAGAAATAGTTAAAAGGAAATCTGTCAATCAAATAGATCTACACCATCAGTAAAGATAGTGTCCTGAGAACAAATGAAACTGAAGAACCAAAAATAGGAACATTCCTGTCTCTGGTGGCCTTTAAAGAAGAAATAAATTTCTGCTTTGCTTTTGTTGTGCCTTCTCCGAAATGATAAAAGCAAAACAGGTTTTTTCCAGGCAGCAAGAAGCCAGACAAGCAAAGCCCCAAATCCCCCCCAAAACTATAAAATACAATACAGGTAGTCTTCAATTTATGAGCATAATTGACCCTGAAATTTCTGTTGCTAAGTGAGACAATTAAGTGAATTTTGCCCCATTTTATGATTTTTCTTGCCATACTTATTAAGTGAATCACTTCAGCTGTTAAGTTCAGAAATTGTTTGAATTTGCACGCTTTTCTAGGAGGACTTAAACTGCAATTCTACTTTTGAATCTCCCTGGGAGGGTGGGAGGTTGCAGCAGAAATGTTTCAACTAGAAATCTAGAAACTCCAGTGCAGATGACAGGGAGCCCAGTTCACCACAGACCTCCTTTTCATAAGCAACTACACATCCCCAAAACAAGCCCACATGAAATGTATCTTTTGTAGAAATCAGAGGTATTCTATCAGTCAATTAAAAACTCATAACTATCAATGTTTCAATCATACCATGCTATTTGAAGAATACAGACTTTGCTTGCTCTTATAAAGTCCTGGAGTCACTATAGCAAAAAACAAGCTACAGAGTCCCCAGGTGAAACAATAGTTCAGGCACTTGACCCTTTGACAAGTCACCTGCTCTGTACTTTTCTGACTATTTCTATAACGAAATCTGTCCAGAGAACTTTAAAGTAGTGAAAGATTAAATGTCCCAAGTATAAATAAATACTATAATATACTGTAAAACACATTCACTTAAAATTTGCCAATTATTTTTAAATAATGGAAATGTGCAAAATGTTTTAAAGTCTAAATCATACCAACTTGAAAGCAATGGTGTCAAATTCCAAATGGATTGTTCTGGTCATTTTGGAAGTACTCATTTCAAAAGTGCTCATTTTGCACTGTTTTGAGCTCCAAGTGGTACTTTCTCAACTTTGGAACACTTTTTAAATATTTGGAATAGCTGTTCAAAACTCAGAGCATTTCAAACTTGTCTTACAAGTTCAAAACGTTTCAAATTCAAAACGTTTTGCATATAACTATTCTGCTTTGATTAATACACACACACATACACAAAATATGACATCTGTGATCTTGCAGCATTTAAATACAAATATACCAAATTATTGTTTGGATTAAAATATATATTTATAATTAAAGATGTGCTATTTTAAATCCTGCTGTATTAAAAAGTACATACTGCATATTTTAAACTTCTGGAATTGTCTTTACTGCTATTCTGACTCTAATTTGCTAGATCTCCAATGGATCTAATATTTATCATTTGGTTTCCAAAACATAATTCTTCTAAGCATTTAAATCTTGTCAGAAAATATAATTTATAATATTAGAACTTTTCCAGTAAATTTAGATGTTTATAAGGTTGAAACATTTTGATCTCAGATGTTTTGCACACATGCAAGAAGAAATTGGAATTCTAAAAGCTTATTCTGAACATTATATATTGCTATGTTCTGAATGCTTCTATTTCATGAAACAATAAGCTACCAAGATTTGAAAATATGAGCCAATATACATTATACTGCAGATGGATTGGGTGAATTTTCAAGGAAAAGTAGCCTTTATACACACACACACACACACACACACACAAAATACAACTGACATTATTCAAATCAGCACACCCTGTTGTGTAGAAGAGTTACTGAAACTATCACTAGGTTAAGCAGAAATGTGAACTACTTACTCAGGCTTTTCTTAATCAAAGAGTTGTCGGTCAAAGCTATACGCTGCTTGTTGATCTTCCCATAACCACGTTTATAGATCAGCTCGTGCACAGACTTTAAGTTAGGATATCTAGAAGATAAGCAATTGCTTTGGTGTAATTACAGACAATTTTATTTCTATCACTGATCAATAAAAACACAATAAAATGAATACAAAACCATATTTTGCATATATTTGGCATCTATTCCTCTTACATAAAAAATCCATTTGGGATACAACATTTAAAAATCTGTAGGTTGAAGCTTCTGAAACTCACACTTTCTCCAGTGCACTGAAATTAGTTATTAAGGAAAACCTAGCACTGTCTAATCTGGAATAATATTTGCTTGGAAAATTTAGACTGAAAGATGGCAAGGGCTAGGGGGAAAATCCTGTAATTGTGTTATATATTAATTTTTAAAAAATGTTGCTACTGAAATCATGAAACACAAGATAGTTCCCAACTTTAAAATTGCATATATGAACAATTATTGCCAATTATTTTCTAGCAAAGTGTCTTATTCACAGGCAGATCAAGACAGAAGTCTAGCCAAATCTTCCAGACTTCTATAGTCTGTGGTTATCACTGTCTATGTGTCAAATTCTATTTTAAATCATTGCAAGGACATTATGAAAATTTCCTTCTGTAGTCATTAAAGAATGAGCATGTACACAAGAAGAAATTATACTCTTATGCTGAACCAAAACCATCCTGGCAAGTTTCTGAGGCATTCATGAGTATAAGAATGAGGTGTATTTGTTGGTAAAACCCCTAGTTTCTCAATAAATAAGAAAAGTTTTTAATCTTATAACACTTGTAGCAAGGATTTGACCATGCTTCCTATCACCATATTTAGTAGGCCCCAAGTGTTATTATATAGTCTGGTATAATAAAACGGGGTTGTCTGAGGACCGGGTTGCAAAATCTCTTCTAGATCAAACTCTCCAAATGGCAAATCAGCAAAGACACTACTAAAAAGTGAATGTGAGCACTAACAAAAAGTAGATTTCATCAGATTTTAATAAATGATATATCCTTTTAAAAAAAACCAGACAGAGATCGCTAAATGTGATT